AACAATTGTCAAACTGCATTGAGAGGCAGTGTAGTGGTTAACAGCATTAGAATTAGACCAAGTTGGATTTGAATTCTAGGTGTGCTCGTACTGGCTATGTAAACTTGAGCACGTAACTAAACACCCCTTGAACCTCAATTCCATTATCCATAAAATGAAGGATAACAGTATCTAAACTCACGGGTCTGTTAGAATGTGATTATATAAAATGCTTAGCACTGAACCTAGAACATTTTAAACATTTAATAAACAGTTATGGTGATTCATTGATGGTACAGCATTGTAACTGTTTGCATAGTTGTTTCCAATCTAAAATATAAGCCAAGGATTTTGTCCTATTCATTTCTGCAACCACAATACCTGACAGAAGACCTGTCATCAAAATACTGAATTAATAGATACAGGGACAAGTGCGTAGCTGTGCAGAATGACATTTGCCTCTATTGTAACTCCTTGGTTCAGATGTGTACAGAGGATGGACAATAATAACTCTGCCAAGGTTGAGTAAGTGCAAGTTGCTAGGTAGCAGAAAGGCTTAAGGCTACATGGAAACATTACTTGAAATCATGTGGTAGAGTTGCAAGTCTGAGAAGCAAGCTGGCCTCAGCTAACAGACAGCATTTGCAGAATTTTCAGTGGGCTAGGACTTTGGGAAGTACATGAATGAGAGGAGGGAATACAGTCTGGGCACGGTGGCTCATGCCTGTAATCCCAACACTTTGGGAGGCTGAGCCAGGTGGATCACTTGAGGTCAGGAGTTCGAGACCAGCCTGGAAAAAATGGTGGAACCTCATCTCTACTAAAAGTACAAAAAAAAAATTAGCCAGGCGTGGTAGCACATGCCTGTAATCCCAGCAACTAGGGAGGCTGATTCAGGAGAATTGCTTGAACCTGGGAGGCAGAGTTTGCAGTGAGCTGAGATCGCACCACTGCATTCCAGCCTGGGCAACAGAGTTAGATTCCATCACAAAAAAAAAAAAAAAAAAAAAAAAGAAGGAATACAAATAATCAACATGTCATGGCTCTTCTGGCAATGGCCATGCCAAAAGTCAAGAAGGCAATGGGGAAAGGGTGTTAGAAGAGACATTTTGTAAAAGCAAAACAGAACAGGATATTTATTGTGAAGAGGACTTTGGAGGAATACCTGGCCTTTTCCATAACTCTTTTCTATGATTTCAAATCTTTGAAAGTTTGAATTCCTAATATAAATGGCAATGTTGGTGATACTAGACAAGCTAAGCCAGGGGCCTGGAAAAGGGAGAGAATTTCTCTGGTGTTCTATTCCCAGTGTGTTTTAAATTGCTGGACTGCTTTGATTTTTCAGGTTCTGCAATATATGTATAAATCCCATGAATTGAAATGGTTTCCTTGGTTGACATTGGAAATCCACATTCATTTTGGTGCTTAATGGTTAAAGATAAACAAAAGAAATAATCAACATGATAGAAGCCTTTGAAGTGTCATGTACAACCTGCCCTCTAGCAAGCCCTTATGGACAGTATAGCCTGTGGAACTCCTGGCATATTGAACAAAAGGAAGAGGGGGAAGTTTAGCTACTCTGGCTTTAGCCATATATTATGAATACATTTGCTTTTAAATGAATTTATAAAATATTAATGCAATTATATGAAACAGCAGAGTGGTAAGTACATTAGTCAGAAGTTTTATTTATCCTGTATATTTGTTTTTTGTTTGTCTCAACCTATTAGTGACAGTACATGGAGACAGGCATTTCCTTCTCAGCCAAAGTGGCAGAACTTGTTTAATGAAGTGATGTTTCTGTAATCTGTGGTAAGGTAGAGTTGTGAGTGACAGAGCTATATGAATAACAATAAGGAGGCAAGCAGAACAATAAAAGGAAGACAAACATTTCAGTAGGAGAGGAAAAATAGATGGGATTGTTCCATTGGCACACAATCTAACCTGATCTTTTCCTGACAAAAATTAACAGTTTGTAAATGGATGAGATTATGTTAACATTCTCTCCAAAATCTTCTGCATGAGGGATTAAATTTTCCAAAGACATAGATGGCATTCTTAACCATAGTGCTCTTATTTTACAGCATAGGAAGACAGAGTATCAGAAGTCTTAAGTTCTGTAAGATCAAAAGGGAAACCTAGACACCATCCCCAACACCTGCATGGAGCCTGACATATAGGAAGCCGATCACAGATGTTTGTGAATGGGGGAATGAATGCCTGAATCAGTGCATTTATCACTGTAGATTTTCACATTTTAAATGGAAGGAAGGACACTTACCTATCAGGACTATCTATCATGCCAGAGAGTTTCATATCTGTTCTATGCTTTCATCCTTTGAGCTAAAAGTCATTATTTACCCCCTACTTCTACCAAAAAGGAAATGGAGGCACATAGATATTAAGAAACTTTCTTCAACATCATATAACTACTATATGGAGGAGAGGAAAGTATAGATATGAGATCCATAGGTGGAAGAGGGTGTGTGCGTGTGTGTGTGTGTGTGCACATGCAAGTTTTGTTTTTGTTTTTGTTTTTTTAGATGGAGTCTCGCTCTTTAGCCAGGCTGCAGTGCTGTGGCGCAATCTCAGCTCACTGCAACCTCTGCCTACTGGATTCAAGCAATTCTCCTGCTTCAGCCCCCCAAGTACCTGGGATTACAGGTGCCCACCACCGTGCCCAGCTAATTTTTGTATTTTTAGTAGAGATGGGGTTTCACCATGTTGGCCAGGATGGTATCAATCTCGACCTTGTGATCTGCCTGCCTTGGCCTCCCAAAGTGCTGGGATTACAGGCATGAGCCACTGCACCCTGCCTAAAAGTAAATATTCTGATAAAAATAAGACTTCCTCTTGGGAGAAATTTTTTTCTTTCCAAACATTTTCAGGGTCTTGACATCACAGGATAAGAGGCATGTGAGAAGCTGGGGAATGCCCTTACTTGCTTGGGGTACTTTTGTAACAGGGGATGCCCATGTGCCACCCACCTGTCTATCTGCCCAGTCACAGATCTCCCTCTTATGGAGCCTGTTAGACCTGATTATGCATCTGTGGGAATCCTGGGTTCTTCCTGTTATGGAGGTTGACCTCCTCCAGCATCTTAGAGAAAAAGAGTCACTCAGAGGACTTCAGGGCCACTTTAAGGATATATATACAGGTATTGCCCCTCTAGCCTGTGTGGTGAACGTGGTAAAGTCTTTGGGAGTAGGGCCTGCTCCTGCTGCTGCATTACCAGAACCCTTCAGGCTGCAGTACTTTATTTCTTTGCAGTCCACTGTGTGTTGTTCTATAGTGAAGGCAGAAGTGGGAGGCAGAGAAGCAAAGATGTAGAGTGCACTCCCTTCTCTCAAAGAAATCTCATTTTGATCTAGAGACAAGATTTAAACAATGAAATCAATACTGTTCTTAGACCCAGGCAAGTGGGGCTCCTCCTCAGGGGCCCCTGTGGTTTGGAACACCTACCTGGATAATTTCTAAGTCCCCTTCCTGAGCCAAGGCAGGCAGTGGCATCAGAGCAGCTGCCCTGGATCCAGAGCAGCTCCTCCCTTTATTCTGATTGCAAGAAGCACCTTTCTTGAAATTTTCTGAGTTTCCCTCCATTGTCTGGGACTGACTGTGGCTGGCAGTATCATCTGAGAAGCCCCAATCTTAAACTGAACACATGTGTACCAGAGTCCCCAATTCTCCCCCTTGGGACACTCTCCAATCCTCTAACCTATATGTGCAGTGAACTAGATGCCCCAAGAAGTTTCAGGACTCATGGCTATGGAATCCTCCCCCGAGTCTTGGTTCCAGAAGAGGGACCTGATAAGGAAACCACTCCAGCTGGCTGCTGTGACATTTCTTTCATGGTATCGCATGAGATTGTGCCATGAAAACTCTGCCAGTACTGATTAGTGGTAAAACAAATTGTGTACATAGATAGGCCCCACAAAAAATACTCGCTTTGGGGGTACCCACACATGCTAGAGGCATCCCTGAATTAAACAAAGGATGGTGTAAAATAAAATAAAATTCAGTGGTAACAAGTATGGAACCAACAGCTTTTAGATGCAAAGTCAAGAATTAACCAGAATTATCTGGAAAGACCTCTTCAAGGAGGATGACACTTAAGCCAGGCCTTGAAGCATGGGGAGAATTTGCAGAGGCTCAAATAACTCCAGGCAGAAAGAACAACATGAACAAAGGCACAAGAGTAGTTATTTATCAAGCCTATGCTCAGCATATTAGATTCATCATTTTGTTTACTTTTCACAGCTCCCTATAAGGGAGGTGATATCAACCCTATTTTGCAGATGAGGAAATGGAAGTTAATCCTGCCAAGCAAATGGTAGACTTAAAACCTAGGTGTGCTTGATCCCCAAAGCTCTGTGCTCTTATACCATGCTGTACTATACAAAGAAAACCTGTACAAGGGACAGTAAAAAGCATTCTCGGAATGGAGCAGAGAGTGTGTGTTGGAAACTAGCAGAGGCAAAATCAATAGACAAGGCATGGCCATGCTATGAAAGACCTTGGATGCCAAAATTAGATGCAGAGACTTAAATAAGCCCTGGTCAAACAAAACAGCCCATCCCAAAAGGAAAATGCACAACTGTATGATAACTCAATGCCTGTAATCTCAGCACTTTGGGAGGCCAAGTCAGGTGGATCACCTGAGGTCGCGAGTTCGAGACCAGCCTAGCCAACATAGAGAAACTCTGTATCTACTGAAAGTACAAAATTAGTCAGGCATGGTGGTGCATGCCTATAATCCCAGCTACTCGGGAGGCTGAGGCAGGAAAATCACTTGAACCAAGGAGGCAGAGGTTGTGGTGAGCTGAGATGATGCCATTGCACTCCAGCCTGGGCGACAGAGCAAGATTCCATCTCAATAAAAGACCTGGAATACTAAGTACCACACTTGTTAAATATTTGCCTCTGTCTTAGAAGTACCTTTGATTTGAAGCTTACAAAGTAACATTCTATCTCCACTAAACTTTGCCTGGTGTCATTTATTGTTCTCTCTTCTCCTTTTTCAGACTTTGATCCTGCTCTTGGAATGATGACTGGAATTCCACCAATAACGCCAATGATGCCTGGTTTGGGAATAGTACCTCCACCAATTCCTCCAGATATGCCAGTAGTAAAAGAGATCATACACTGTAAAAGTTGCACGCTCTTCCCTCCAAATCCAAGTAATATTCTGCTTTTTTCTTTACACAAGACACAATGTTTTAGTGTACAAGAAAGCTTTCTTCTTTTTCAGAAGAATACCCAAGGGCTTCATAGAGGTTTGTATGGAAACTTCACCTAGAGAACCGAAGATAGGAAAATTTTATCTTGTTAGACAAGGTTGAATTTTATGCACAGAAAAGTAGACTTTTGTGTGCAGGTTGCGGTACAAATGGTACATGTTTCTAATGCCGTCTGGTGAGGAATTCAAGTGTGTTAGTACAGAAGGAAGCATACAAATTGCTCAGCACCATCATTTGCAGTCTTTCCTTTTCATAACTGCCCCACGTGCTGATGATGGCAGAGACAGAGTTTGGTTGGAGGCACATGAGAATATACATTTGGTGCTAATAATCTTACACTACTAGCAGCTATTCATACATCATTCAAACCACTGCTATTCAACTGATGGGCTGGAATAGACAGTGAGGCATGGTTCAACATACTGGAAGTGCAGAGAGAAATATTTGAGACTAAGTCACACTACTTGTAGCCCCAGTCAGTACAGTTCAAGTAGAAGTAATCTCGAGATCCATTTATCAGTAATCAACAGCCTTCTTCTTAGCTTCACTTTAAAACATGTGTAAAGATATGGTGGCCATATTTTAGTTAAAATGTCCCAGTAATAATAATTGACTAAAGCTTTTTTCCAGATCCATTTGGGGTTTATATACATTAAATGATTAGAAACTGATTCTGCATGTGCCCTAAACCTCATTAATTATTTTCCATAGTTCTAGTCATACTAGGTGGCATACCAAGGGAACCACCACTGCCGTACAAAGATTAGAGCTGCTTGTTAAGGGATACATTCAGTGGTTTAGGGCATAGATCAAATGGCCTTGCCCTATCAGGATAAATATGAATCTTTGACATGTGACTTGAGACAAAAATTTCATCTCCTACCTTAAATAAGAATCAGTTCATCATGGTCCAAGCCCTGGCAGGAACCCAGATTCTACTTAGTATGGTCTGCTCATAACAGGATTTTAGAATCAATTAGAGTTGGTTGGATAGATCGTCTTGGCCCCTTTTGCTAGAAAAAAAAAAGGATCTTTATATTTTCTTCTGGTTTTTGAACGTGGTTGTCAACAGGAGACATCGTTCCAAACCAATAAGAAATCCAGGAGGCCAGCATCTCAGAAGACTGTATTGAGAGAAGAGCTGGTATGTCACAAGGAGAATTAGGGAATGGAGAATAAGATGCCCCTTGCAGGACATACTTGCCAACTCAAATGGCCATTCCTGGATTTGTATTTAGTGCCTAGGTGAATGAGCAGCACCATTTTATCTTTGCTCCACTGTTCCTACAGTGGGCGGTGGCCTTTTTTACCTTTCTTTCAGTGTGTTGCTATTGGATTAGAGAAAGCTGTATATTCCTGATAGTACCTTTTCTACATAAAAAGCCATGAATTTAAGCACTGCCAGTGGCAAAACCTCCTGCTTATGAAAGGGTAGAATCCTGCTGATTTAATCATTCATTTATCGCATAATCAGCCTGCAGCAGGCTTTCATTGTCTCAAACACATCCAGGCTAACAGGATGGCTCACAACTGTCATGTCCAGGTTGGGTGCAGTAGTTGACTTTACAGGATGTTCAGTTTCTAAATTTCTAAAGAATAGCACAGATGCCTTGTTTATGACACATAGATGATATTGTTGAGCAGTCTTCAAATGAATCTAGAAATATATAGCTTGAAGAGGCTCTAACTTTTTATAACCTCTAGTAAAAGAAACGAACTGACATCTCTCAAATACATTTTTATCTTTCCCCAGCTGCAACCATGCCTCTTCAGTTCTGAGTTGGAAGGGCCACAGAGTGAGAGGGCAACACATCTCCCTCATGGCTCCATCTTTCAGTTCTTCATTCTTGTATTAAGAATGCTTACAGGGCAGCTAGCACCAGCAAATTGGTGGCTTCTGTGAAGGAACCAAGCTTTGGAACTGAATTCAAACATAACTCTCTTAACACAGTTTAAAGCAAACTGGTGTTCTGTTTGCTTTTTAGAACTAGAATTTTGTTCAAAGGGGGCTTGGATTACTTGGGTGGAGAAACACTAAAAGAGGTGCTTCTCTTGGTTTTCTACTGAAAGCATGGCAAAGTGACATTGTTGTTAGTGGCCTCAAGACATTGCTTTGTGAATGTGAGATGGGAAGAGCAGGGTAGGACAGGAAGAACAGGGATTTGGTGTGACTAAACCCCTTATCTTCTCAGCCCACCAACCCTGCCTGCCTGATCAGGCCTTGATTATTGTATTAGTCCATTCTCACATTGCTATAAATAAATACCTGAGACTGGGTCCTTTTTAAAGAAAGGAGTTTGAATTGGCTCATGGTTCTGCAGGCCATACAGGAAGCATAGTGGCTTCTGCTTCTGGGGAAGCCTCAGGAAGCTTCCAGTCATGACAGAAGGCAGATAGAGCAAGGTGTCTCACATGGCAGGAGCAGAAACAAGAGAATGGGGATGAGGTGCTTTTAAATGATCATTTCTCATGGGAACTCACTCACTATCACAAGAGCAGCACCAAAAGGACGGTACTAAACTATTCATGAGAAATCCACCCCCTGATCCAATCACCTTCCACCAGGCCCCACCTCTAACATGGTATATTACAATTCTACATGAGATTTGGGCAGGGACACAGGGCCAAACCCTATCAATTATAAACCCCACTACTTATTCCTACCTGTCTCTGGTATATTCTCTTGCACTCAATGGCCTCTGAAATTCCTCTCAACAATAAAGTCTTGTGATTCAGGGACTCATACAATCTCTTTATTCACCATCCAGTCTGCTTCTAAGTCGTGTTGCTTTATTAGAAAGTATCTTTGCCATGCATTCCCTCCCCTATGTCCCACCTGACCTTTCATCCAAGTGTTTGTCACATACACAGAACCATGAAATTGTCCTGAGGCTCCCATTGCCCACAGATTCATAGTCCAACTCCTGACCTCAAAAACCTTTCACCTGTCTGTTTCATATGACTGTCTTCAGTCCATCGCTTCTACTTGCCATGTACCTGCCCTTTAGTCAAGTTCAGCAGCTTCCTGACCTCATACTCCTCACACTCTCCTCCAGCCCACCTTCAAGCATACCCCTTTCTAGGGCACTTCCACATGGAACATATTGGAAATAAAATTATAATGAATCACTCTTAGGCATTTTCACTTAAATAGTGAACGTTGAATCTAACGGATTTCTTTCCCTCGCACAATGCATTTAATCTGTGAGAAAATTATGTCAGTCTACCTAATAATATGTGTCTATAATCCTTCCAATAACCACTGCTATGATTTACTTTTTATCTGCCATGATTCATTTTCTAAATTATTGTAATAGCCTTCTAAATAGTCTTCCTTCTTCACCCTTGCTCCCTACAGTCTATTCTCAACAAAACAGCCTTTTAAAACCTAAGTCTGTTCATGTTGTTTCTCTACTCAGAACCCTTGAATGGCTCCCCATTTCACTCACAGTAGAGACCAAAGTCCCTACATTGTCTCCTTGACTTCATCTGCTACTCTCCTCCCCATCAATCGCTCTGTTCCAGTCACACTGACCTTCATGCTGTTCCAAGAACGCACCAGGCACCCTCCCATCATAGGACCTTTGCACTAGCTCTTCCGTCTGCCCACCAGAATGCTTTCCCTCTACATATCTGCATGGCTAACTCTCTCACTTCTTTTAAGTCTTTGCTCAAATGTCACTTTCTCAGTGACCCTGATAACCCATTTAAAACTTATCTCCTTGCCACAGTTCCAATCCTATTTACCTTCTCTATTTTTTATATAACATGTATCTTTTTTTGAGACAGGATCTCACTCTGTTGCCCAGGCCAGAGTGCAGTGGTGCGATCTTGGCTCACTGCAGCCTCCACCTCCTGGGCTCAAGTGATCCTCCTGACTCAGCCTCTCAAGTAGCTGGGACTAAAGGCATGCCCCACCATGCCCAACTAATTTTTGTATTTTTTGTAAAGACAGGATTTCACCATGTTGCCCAGACTGGACTTACTACCTTTCAACAAACTATATAATTTGTAGAATCTAAACCCCAACAAGGCAAAATTTGTGCCTTTTTTGTCTCCTGATTTATCATCAGCACTTAGAAAAATATATTACATATAGTAGGTGTTCAATAAATATTTGTTGAATGATGGAGGGAGGGAGGGTTGGATGGATGATGACAGAAGGAAGAGTCAGAGGTCTAGAAAGAAAATCAGAAGAGTATGGGGTAATCACCACCACATGCTAATGACTTCCAAATCTATATTTGTAGTTTATATCTCTTCCGAGCTTCAGATACATGTAGCCAACTGCTTACTAGACTTTTCTGGGTCTATGTACATCAAATGTACAAAAAATGGTATTATAATATAGAAGACAGGCTACCAGTTTGTAAATCAAGAGAACTGTGTTCTATTCCCAGCTCTGTCACTAACTAGCTGTGGCATCTGTGGATAGTCATATAACCTCCTTGAGTCTCAACCTCCTTGTCTGTAAAGCAAAAATATTGGGTTAGATTAGCCTGGATAACTCCAATGCTTCATCCAGCTCTGAAGTTATGATTCTCTACATTAAAAATGCAGCTGCCACAGTAATTATTTACATAGGCAAAAGCCCTTTAAAATTCGTTAGGAAAATCAAGGGCTGGTTGGCAGGTAGCATGTAGAGGTTTGTATCTTCTCTGGAGCAGGCACTATAGTATAATGGGTAAGTTTTCAAGCTCAGATGTGACACAAGCCAGCCTGGTTTTATATCCCAGCTCTCTATCACTAAATAGCCATAAGATGTCTGATAAGGAACTTCACTTCTGTTATGTAGACTGGGGAAAATCAGACCTGGTCTATAAAGTCAGGGGATCAAACTAGAGTGGAGCAGAACTAGTACCTCACATGAAGATAAAGGGCGAGTGAATACCCCATTGTTGCAGAAGCCACATCCTCTGATTTCCAGAAAACTGAGATGT